TTAAAGAAGGCAACAATTTACAATGTGGATAAGGTGACTACTTATCCAAAGTGTGTGGGTGTGTGTGGGTGTGTGTGTGTGGGTGTGTGTGTGTGTGTGGGTGTGTGTGGGTGTGTGTGGGTGTGTGTGTGTGTGGGTGGGTGTGTGAACAGCTTGTCTGCCCAAGGTTAAAACATTTGGGACAGCAGTGAGAATGTTATGAGAAACAATTTGTTGCTTAGACTGAACTCGAAAGAAGCTGAGATTAGAACATTTTAAATAAATCAAAACACTTGTACATTAATTAAATACATTTGACATTTAGCTTGAGCTGGGTTCAATACTTTCTTTATGGTATTTAAATTGGGCTCAAGTAGAACCTTTACATGGATTTGGCTTGCAACACAAAGTGATACCGATCTCTGTCTGTTATGATTTGAAAGTCTCATGATTTAAAGTGTAGGGCTGTGAAGGAGAGGCCCTTGGAAAACAACCTCTACTTCTTTGTTAACTGTAATTACTTATTGTAAAGAGATTGCAACATTATACTTTTTAAATAATTGCTCAATTCATTTAACACATTTATTATGCACACTGTAATGAAAACGTCAACAAATATATTGATCCTGGCTTAACCAGCGACCTTTACTCTTTTGTTCATAAGCTCGGTTTCAGAAAACTTGTCAGTAGTTTAACAACTATTAGAATTGTAGTAATGTCTATGGAGACCAATTGGTTGATACGAGAAATCATTTGAAGCAGTTTAATAAAGAATGTTAAACTATATTTAAAACTGTAATTAAACTTCAACTTATATTAATTATCTGAATCCAGTGGCCAGTTGGAATAGATAATCAACAAAGTTTCCATTTTGCAGCAACAGCGCAAAAGGTTTCAACAATAATTTGTATTATGTCTGAGTCTAGTTCTGTCTTATCAGCTTTGTTTCGGAATGTGTTCAATACATTACGTTTTTTTCATTATTACCATACAATACATAGATTTAAGAATAAATGAAACAAATAATACAATATTGACCTAAAACAGCAGACAGATTTTGCCACCCTGACCTCCTCAGGCAGGTTTTTTTTACGACCAGCAGTGATGCCTCTGAGGGTCTCAGGGTGCAGGACGGGGCATAGGGTTTATAAAAGGTCACAAACATATCTTAACATACCAGCAATACAATTTAAGAATGTATTCTTAAAAGTAATATAATCTTATTTTCTTCTTACACCTACAGCGCACACCCTGAACAGTGTGCTTCTTGTTTACATTTCCTCTGCACACTCAGATGCAGGACATAAAAACACTCTTTTGCTATTTATTTTCATTTTGCAGCACATCTATACTACCAGAATTTTGCAAAACACTATATATTATTTATCTTTCTCAAGTCATTTACTTTTGGTGAGTTAACTAATGCTTAGTTTATTTTACCCTGGCTATGGACTGATTCATTATTAGTTGTTACAAAACATGCACAAGACGGCGGTTAGACAAACCAATATAGACCCCTGATACAAACAATCAGACAAACAAACATGATGAACTCGTAATAAACACCAGTGCGACAGCAAAGTTCATCCAGCTCAATTTAGTCCGGATTAAAGAGGTTTCAGAGGGGGTAGGGATATGATCTCTCCCAATGGGAACCCAGTGGGGCACCTTGACTCGTGCAGCCACCCTTGTATACAAGTCCTTAGATCGGTGCCTGAAGACCGTCCAAGAGCAATAACTAGCTTATCCTCTTGCGACCCCACTATCCCTGCTCTAGTGGTGCTATGCCCCCCCGATCAGGAGCACATAGACTTTTTTTTCCTCTACCCTTTCTATCCGAAACTACACAGTTAACTGTAGTCCTACTCGACCAGCCTATACACCTCCCATCATGTTCATCACAACGATGAAACACAGTTTTGCTCTACACTTGCATACCACTGCCCACCCATGATCAATTAGCCTATAATTTTATGTATGCACCCCGGACCGGCACCAGCTCCTCCAGCAATGTAGGGAGCCTGTCGCATCAGGTAATGCACGCACCTCGCACCTGCCAGCACCTCGTAAACGGCCACAAGCCACGAGAGTGCTTTTAAACAGTCTCGTTTTTAATAGAGACGGCGGTGGTGTGAGGTAAAGTTATAGACAAAAGCTGTGATTTTCTCCCTCTGAGTTCACTTCACCAGCTCATGCAGATACGGGGAGGTATTTTACACACATTCCCCGGAGCCGCAGCTGGAGCCGTGTTTTTTTTAGAGGCGCTGGGGGTAATATCTCTGGCTGCTTTAGTTAACTGCTAGTGTTGGCCGCTGAAACCCCCGGAATCTCGGCGATTTGTTCATTACAAATCTCTATTTTGATTTCACACAGAAGTTCCACTTTACTCATTAAGGTCTTTTTAAACATCTCCGTGTATGCCTGCACGGCACATACGTCCCGAGCAGCACACACAGAGGGAACCAGCCAAGACAGAGTCCCTGGATGATCCCCTGGGGTTAATAGCCCCAAATGTTCATTAACTAAAACGAAACACAGCCGCTCAGCTTCACAGATAATTTTAGGATACCGTCAATCACAGATTCTGGTAAGGCAATGTCCAAATGTAGATTTGAAATCACACTTACCAGTCTCTGAAGATCTGTTGGTATCCTGCCGACAACGCCAATTTGTGGAGGAAACTTCTGTGTAGTAATGCATGGAGTCACCGACTCAGGAAGGAGACACGGTGAGAGTTGGAGCTTTGATGTCAAACACTGATGGGTTTATTCAGAGTATTCGGCCGGAGGATTCACATCACAAATCAAAGAGTCAGAGGTTCTGACCACACGGTAGAGTTGCCACGTCAATTCTGAAGAACCTCTCTCTATGCTAGACCTTTTAACGGGTTCACAGAGAGAAATCAACATCTCTGAAGGAGTAGACTAAACACTGAGTCACCTGCGTCCGACGCTCATGGCCTCAAGGATTTCCCATCCTAGAGCCCACAAACACCGATAAAGAAGTGCCTCAGTGTTCCCACAACAATTACCCTTCGTGCCAGTCAAGTTGACCGGTCACACACTGGTGACAACAACACATATGGCACCAAGGCCTTTCCTTAAAGGAGATAACACGTCACAGAGCAAAAGGTTAGATATCTAGAAGAATTATTCCTTAACAGAGAGGACTCTTTAAAGTAGAGACACTACATACTGATATACACCTGAACATCAGCAGGAGAGGACTCTTTAAAGTAGAGACTCTACATACTGATATACACCTGAACATCAGCAGGAGAGGACTCTTTAAAGTAGAGACACTACATACTGATATACACCTGAACATCAGCAGGAGAGGACTCTTTAAAGTAGAGACACTACATACTGATATACACCTGAACATCAGCAGGAGAGGACTCTTTAAAGTAGAGACACTACATACTGATATACACCTGAACATCAGCAGGAGAGGACTCTTTAAAGTAGAGACACTACATACTGATATACACCTGAACATCAGCAGGAGGACTCTTTAAAGTAGAGACACTACATACTGATATACACCTGAACATCAGCAGGAGAGGACTCTTTAAAGTAGAGACTCTACATACTGATATACACCTGAACATCAGCAGGAGAGGACTCTTTAAAGTAGAGACACTACATACTGATATACACCTGAACATCAGCAGGAGAGGACTCTTTAAAGTAGAGACACTACATACTGATATACACCTGAACATCAGCAGGAGAGGACTCTTTAAAGTAGAGACACTACATACTGATATACACCTGAACATCAGCAGGAGAGGACTCTTTAAAGTAGAGACACTACATACTGATATACACCCGAACATCAGCAGGAGAGGACTCTTTAAAGTAGAGACACTACATACTGATATACACCTGAACATCAGCAGGAGGACTCTTTAAAGTAGAGACACTACATACTGATATACACCTGAACATCAGCAGGAGAGGACTCTATAAAGTAGAGAGGACTCTTTAAATGAAACACAGACAACACTTGGAACAATGTGTTTTTATTACACCCAGCAGCCTATAGGTCCGTACTAACCTATGGTCACATCGTTAGTTTCCTTCACAACGTAAGAGTAAAATGAAATCAGGCAACCATCTAGAGTGAGGCAGTATTGCTGATAACGAACACACTGCGGTAAATAAAGCTCTCTGCAGCCGCTCTGAAATGCTTTCCTCTTTAAAACTCCTTCTGTTGTCCACATGTGTTCCTTTATTAGCACCAAGTCTACATGAGTCTCACGGACACTGAATCTGGACTTATCAACATGTTGTATTAACACCGTCGTCTTTTTTGTGTAACATCCAAGAACTCGTGAAAGCAAAGGTGAGTGAAGTCGGCAACATATGAGCACAGTCTTTGTTTACTAAGTACACGGTGCAAGCAGCAGGGTTTTCTGTTTGCAACATCAGGTGAATGTATTCAGCGTTACTGCACAGTCTATTTAAAGCAGTGCTCACTCCCAACGAGGCAAACTGCAGAAGTAGCAGCGTCAAAAACACCCAAAAAATCAAAGATTTCACAGTCGACCACGATAAAACGATCTGAGACACTGACAGAGACACCAGGTGAGACACTGACAGAGACACAGGACACCAGGTGAGACACTGACAGAGACACAGGACACCAGGTGAGACACTGACAGAGACACAGGACACCAGGTGAGACACTGACAGAGACACAGGACACCAGGTGAGACACAGAGACACAGGACACCAGGTGAGACACTGACAGAGACACAGAACACCAGGTGAGACACTGACAGAGACACAGGACACCAGGTGAGACACTGACAGAGACACAGGACACCAGGTGAGACACAGGACACCAGGTGAGACACTGACTGAGATATAGACAACAATAAACAATAAATAGTAACTGTTGTTGTGTTCCTGCAGAGTGAGGAGGAAGAAGAGGGTGAAGAAGGCGGGACTTCTTGCTTCAGACGCTCCTCAGGAGACGAGCAGGAGGAGAGGAAGATCAACAGACAGTCCTCTGGCTCACAGACACTCAGGACACAGCAACGCTGCCTTCACTCCTGACACGTAGACTACAGAGACATACACTACAGACACGTAGACTACAGACACGTAAACTCCCGACACGTAGACTCCCGGCACGTAGACTACAGACACGTAGACCACAAACACGTAGACCCCAGACACGTAGACTCCCAACACGTAGACTCCCGGCACGTAGACTACAGACACGTAGACTACAGACACGTAGACTACAGGCACGTAGACTACAGACACGTAGACTACAGACACGTAGACTACAGACACGTAGACTACAGACACGTAGACTACAGACACGTAGACTACAGGCACGTAGACTACAGACACGTAGACTACAGACACGTAGACTACAGGCACGTAGACTACAGACACGTAGACTTCCGTCACGTAGACTACAGACACGTAGACTACAGACACGAAGACTACAGACACGTAGACTACAGACACGTAGACTCCCGGCACGTAGACTACAGACACGTAGACTACAAACACGTAGACTCCAGACACGTAGACTCCCGACACGTAGACTCCCGACACGTAGACTCCCGGCACGTAGACTACAGACACACGTAGACTACAGACACGTAGACTACAGGCACGTAGACTACAGACACGTAGACTTCCGGCACGTAGACTTCCGGCACGTAGACTACAGACACGTAGACTACAGACACGTAGACTACAAACACCTAAACTACAGACAACTACAGACACGTAGACTACAGACAGCTCCACGTTTCTCCATGTATTCTGCACACTTGCCCTGCAGCTGTTCTTATTTCTGACGTCAGTATGTTGTGTAAATGCAGATTCATGAATGTACTGTAAAGACGTGCTGATGAAATGATTCATAAAGAGTTGTGTAATTCAAACGGTATGTTTATCATATTGATCCACCTGTAGGAGCTGAGAGGGTTAGGGCGGCTGATCAGAGTCTAAACTCTGAGGTTTTACTTTAAACACAGAATGTAGTATTCATTTATCAAAATAAATCCTGATTATTTAAATATATGTTCACATGTTGTCGTTGGGCAGATTTAAAGATGAAGTGTGTACATGTTACCGCTGATATAGAGAAACTAGATGTATGTCCTCAGCCTGTCAGAGATTACTCCTCTTCCTCACAGATATATATTTGTAAAGTACATCATGTAAAGGCACAGGTTTGATATCAGACTTGTTTTTATAATAAAAACACTTGAAAGCGATATTTTGAATTTGCTTTGATTTTTGAACATACCTGTAAAACCATGATAATTACCAAATATTACTAAGAATTATTTATAAGTAGTGTGGGGGAAACATCTGAAGCAATAGGAGTCAGGACTCAGAGAGACACGAGGAGAGCTGGAGCTTTGATGGAGTCAGGACTCAGAGAGACACGAGGAGAACTGGAGCTTTGATGGAGTCAGGACTCAGAGAGACACGAGGAGAACTGGAGCTTTGATGGAGTCAGGACTCAGAGAGACACGAGGAGAGCTGGAGCTTTGATGGAGTCAGGACTCAGAGAGACACGAGGAGAGCTGGAGCTCTGATGGAGTCAGGACTCAGAGAGAGACACGAGGAGAGCTGGAGCTTTGATGGAGTCAGGACTCAGAGAGACACGAGGAGAACTGGAGCTTTGATGGAGTCAGGACTCAGAGAGACACAAGGAGAGCTGGAGCTTTGATGGAGTCAGGACTCAGAGAGACACGAGGAGAGCTGGAGCTCTGATGGAGTCAGGACTCAGATGCGGCTTTCACACCAGCGCTTTTCCCTTTCTAGCTCCGAGCGAGAGCTTTTCTGGTTCAGCTCCGGTTTCCCTTTTCAGCTCCCGCTCTGTTCACACTGCCCAGAGCTGCCGCTGCTGCGTCATGACGTCACCGTTTACGTCGCTGATTTCCTCCCACAACAACAACGGGCTGGGGACTACGTCGGGTCGATGATCGTGTTGCTTTTAATCATACGAAGCCAGATTAAATTAAATAACGACTTCTCCAACCTTATACTTTTCTCCAGAGTGCCGTGGTTCATTGTTTATTAATGTGTTTCAGCTGCATTTACCGACCGCTGCAGTGCTGGCTGCACTTCCACGGGAGTTTATTCTCCCGTTAGCTCCGGGTTAGCTCACACGGCTCTAAAGTATTCACTGTCTGACTGTCACACAAGCAGCTGATACATATCCCCAGTTCCCCTTAAGTGAATGTGTGTCAGTCTGAATTGACGCTGTTTGGCATCACAACGCTATTATGAAAGTTTCTCTGGTATAACATGGGTGATGTTAGCATAGCAACCGAAGCTAAACTGACTACTTGCTAAGCCGTTTTCTACAGGCACATTTTACCGGCGTATTTTTCATTATGATTCTACTTGTGATAGTCGGACATGACAACCTGTGCAGCCCATGTATTTATTCCATCCGATAGCTGCTATAATAACAAACAAAACGTCTGCCTGCTCTCCACAATGATCAATAACAGCGAACGGATGGTCAAAGTAAGGTTTCCTGCACGCCTCGACGTAAGAGACGTCATAGCTCCGAAGCTCTTGCCTCTGGACCGACAATTTTTTGGAGCTGGAAGTGAACCGCATTCCGGAGCTATGACGCGCCGTCGCTGCGGTGTGAACAGGAAAAAGCGCCGGTGTGAAAGGGGCAAGAGAGACACGAGGAGAGCTGGAGCTTTGATGGAGTCAGGACTCAGAGAGACACGAGGAGAGCTGGAGCTTTGATGGAGTCAGGACTCAGAGAGACACGAGGAGAGCTGGAGCTTTGATGGAGTCAGGACTCAGAGAGACACGAGGAGAACTGGAGCTTTGATGGAGTCAGGACTCAGAGAGACACGAGGAGAGCTGGAGCTTTGATGGAGTAAGGACTCAGAGAGAGACACGAGGAGAACTGGAGCCTTGATGGAAACACTGACGGTTTATTTGGAGCTTCGGCCGGAGAATTCACAAGACATGTCACGGGCCACGGTCTGACCACACGGTTGAGATGCCACAACCAATTCTGAAGAGCCCTCCTGTAGCTCCAGGTTTTAACTAGTTCAGAGTGTAATGATCAACATTCTTCAATAGATAGACTAAACAGCTGAGGACACTGAATCACATTTGTTGTCTCTTATGGCTCGGGGTCATCTACACCCCGAGAAGGATGTGTTCCAGGTGTCCCACAACAATAACTATCTCTGACCGACAGTTGCCCGGTCACAAACTGGTAACAACAACGACTTGCTAGCGCAGCCCCTCCTTAAGGGAGATAGCGGCTGCTCGAGGCTGGGCCTCTGCGTCAGAGGGCGAAGGAGGAGGACATGCAGGGCGAATTATTCCCTGACAAGTAGAGTTGCATATAAAGGAATATGTCCGTTAGGGTGCTATGATTTAAAATTCTCCAGATTATAATATGATGTATGAATAAACGGGAGGGTTTTTTATTCACATATTTTCAGTTTTTATTGAAATCTCTGCAAGAATTGTAAACATGTTCAGTCAGAAGAGGAGGCACAGAATCACGACGGGCAGTGAATGCAACACGATGCAGATTGTTATCAGATCAATCAAAGTGGGCCCAGTGTGGATCCCTGTGGGACGCCAGGGGGAAGCTTACAGGAAGTAAACAACTGTAAACCAAATTAATTTAATTTAAACAATAAAAACACACCAGCCCCCGAGGAGAGGACCCTCTGTTCTTCAAGTTTTTATTATAATTACACAAGTCTTTCCCAGAGTGCAGTGCGTTGATCATGTGATGCAGAAAGACCGTTAAGCCGCTCAGGAAACAAAGGAGCATTTATTCAGCTCTGCTCCAGTCACTCATTATATATTCACTCATTCATCAGCTTTAAGCTTTAAGCTCTCAGGAAACAGTCTGGAGGAAACACACATTTATAAAACTGTTCATAAAAACACATGAACTTATTTACATGAAGAATAAATCATTAATAAATGGAAGAATGATATTTAAATACACTTTATCTTTTTACTGTTATGAAACAATTCAACAATAAATAATGATGTTTAATAAAATCATTAATGCTAGAATGTATTCATCTTGAAATTAGTTTTTTTAAAGTTTGTTTATTTATTATTATTATTATAATAGTATTTTTTTACCAGTATTTGTTATTTATAATATTTTTCTTTAGATAATAATAGTTTTTTTAAGAATCTAAAATATGTTTAAAGATGTTTAATTACATATTATTAATAATAATAATGCATTTTATTTAAAGGTCCCATGTCATGCTTTTCTGGTTATAACCCGTCCCCTTGTGTTATGTAGCTTTTTCTGCATGTAAACGGACCGCTAGTGGAGCCTCGCAGATGGGGGTGCTGCAGCCCCCTTCAGCACCCCCCCCCCCCTTTCCCGCGTCCATTCGCTGTGTCTCGCAGACCCCTCGCAGCAACCAGGAAACCACACCAGTAATCCAGCTCACACTGTCCGCTCCTCGAGCCTCAAAGGGCGGAGCAGCGGGCCCCCCCAACGTCCCCCCAACACGGCCCCCAGACCCCACGCAGCATTCTCATCTGTTTGTCATTACTGGTGTCATTTCCTGGTTGCTAACAAACGCCATTGTAACACATAATCACTGATGTTCCGCTGTAACGGTGGTGGACTCATCAGAACAGAGTGGGCGAGCTGACCAATCAGAGCACAGTGGGCTCACAGGGAGGGGGGGGGCAGGAGCTCCAACAAGGCGTGTAGGACAGAGAGTGAATACACATACTATACAGCAGGGGTCGGCAACCTTTTTTATATGAAGTGCCATTCTAAAAAAAAATGTTTATCAGCGTGCCGACAATCGTGAATTATCAACGGGGGGGGGGGGGGGGGGGGGGGTGTTGAAGAGCTCGACGAAAACACTCGTGAAAAGTGATGTTTAAAACTCAGTTAATGGGGCTCATTCACTGGCGCTTCCACAAACAACAACCAACATAATTGTTACATTCAAATGAAGTAGCCTACATTATTCAAGTTCACATTAACTTTGGATAATAAAACGGGAGAAATGAGCGGAAGCGCTCTCTTTTCCTCTCTCCCCCTCTCTCTCTCTCTCTGTCCTGACAGCCTGCCAGTATCTCAAGCAGCTCACTGATCCAGTAATGAGTGACAGAAATATATGTATAACTAGTTCCAAAGGTAGATCAAATAGCTAAGTGTGTTAGGTCTAACTCTTGTGTGTTCTGCTCCGCTCACCGGTCCGTCACAGCGGGTGGAGCTGCAGGATTTCTGCTTCACACACGCTGCATACCGCTATTTTATTGTCTTTTTCGGACACCTTAAAATACTGCCAGACTGGTGAAGCGATTTTGGCGAGCTTGTTTTGCCGCACACAGAGAAAAGTGTCATGTATGTTACGTCTCGCAATCTGCCTTTTTGAGTGGGGCTGCGTTGCGTGCATGGCTTCCTTCTGCAGGTAACGGGGAGACGCGCTCTGGCGGCGGTCTCGTTCAGGATCCGAAAATAAAATAAATATTTTGTACACTTATTCCACTTATTCCTAGTGTGCCACTGGTTACGGTGCCGCGTGCCGTTGGTGGCACGCGTGCCAGGGGTTGCCGACCCCTGCTATACAGAGATGCTGTATGAGAAACCAATGTGAGTTTGGAACATTGAACAATGTCAATCTATTCTAGTAGACCTCAACAATGGAACTATGATCAGTAGAAATGGCCATGAGACATGGGACCTTTTAAGAGAACTTTTCTAAGAGTAAACATTTAACAAGGAATTAATAATATGTTGTAACCTTTAAAAAAATCTAAATGTGTTTACAAATAAATGATTAACCATATGTAAATCACAAATATGTAAATAATATTTAAAACCCTTTTATATATATATTTAAACTGTTTAATGAGTGCAACAATATATTGATAAAGTAAACAATAACATTGAAGCATTAATATTGATTTAATTGCTTTTAAACAATAATATTTATATTTTCTAAAGTGCAAACAAATAAAAGTTCACCTTAGTGTTATAGAAATTATTTAAATCCCTGCAACAACAATATATAATTTAAAGGCATTTAAAAATAAAGTAAACACATGTTGTTTGTTGTTGTTGTTCAGTCAGAGAGCAGAGGGGAGTGCTCGCTGGTCGTTGGACTTTCTGAAACCATTCTATACAAACAGAAATAAAGTTATTAAAATACACGAGGTAATAATATTACAAAATATATTTGAGGAATATCCCAAACAGAGAATATAAAATAAATTAATAAATTAAAGTACATGTACCTCTGGGAGGGGGGGTGTCTCAGGTAATAAACAGCCAGCAGCAGAGCCTGAGGAGACAGAGCTCATGACTTCACATGATGACACACACACACACACACACACACACACACACACACACACACACACACACACACACACACACACACACACACACACACACACACACACACACACACACACACACACACACACACACACACTGTGTGACCCTCAGCAGGAGGTCAGGAGGCTGACCCCTAGATTCCACCGGGTCCGTCTGCTGCGCGTTACGGGCGCGTCGCGGTTTTGGTCCGGCCTCCTCCGGCGTCATACCCTACCAGGCGCGTTTCAGAAGCATTTCAGAAGCGGAGAGTCTTGCCTGCCGGCTCGCAGTTTTTGTTGATTTGGGCATATTTCCTGGACAGGCTACTTTGTACAGACAAAGTTAATAATAACTGTAATATTCCAGTTATAAACGACATGAATCAAAGACGTGTTGCTGTATTTTAGTGGTAAAAAAAATGCATTCATCATCATAATTATTCTATATATATAATTTACACAGTGCCTGTAAACCGGAGGAGAACGCTGGCATTTCTCCTCCTACTTGAAAGACTACGGAGGGATAGGGTCTGCAAAATTAGTTTGTGTGTGTGTATATATATAGGTCTATATAGCTCTGAACGTTCCACTTCCTGCCTGCCCGACCTTACGTTACGGCTGCGCCGCGACAAAAATAGGATTCGATCCTAATTTTAGAAAAGCCCTGTGCCGAGCCGCTTCTGGGACGCTTCTGAGCCGTAACGCGCCGCGTGTGGTGGAATAGCACCCATTGACTAGAGTGGCCGCGATCACCTTGAGCACCGCGGCGCAGCCGTAACGCGTCCGTAACGCGCCGCAGACGGACCCGGTGGAATCTAGGGGTGAGAGCTGCTGCTGATTGGCTGATAAACTGAGAGTCTTTCAGGTTTTATAACGAGTAAAATACATTCACAGAGATTTACTCTCAAGTGTTTTGCAACAGAAAAAAAAGCATTGCAGTGTCGGTGCTTCTGCAGATCCAAACGTTATGTTTAGAAAAGTTATATTTTTAAATCCAAATGTATTTATTTTTCAGAAATTCTTATTTTTAAATCCATAGGTGCTTTCACACCGGAGTACTTTACCCAGGAATAGTTCCAATAGTTCTTGGGATTTTGCGTTCACACCAAAAAGATCTGGAACTAGAACTTAGTTCCTTTTCAGTCCCTGCTAGAGAGGTGGTACCTTCCTGGGGAGGAAAAGGTTCCAATTTCTGATTGGCTGGGCGGAATGCAAACCACGCCCCGTAAAACTCCGAAAAGTTTTGTGAAGCCGCCATTTTTATTTGCTCGCATTAGCATTATTAGCATTAGCATTAGCCCAGCGCACCAACGGAGAGAGACTAACTTATGGCAACACAAAAGAAAACATGAGAGTGATGAGGAGGTGTCGGCGTTCTGGCGATTTACTGCCACCCGAAGTCCCGGAGTCCCCCGCGGGTGGCAGTATACGCCGTGAAGTTGTTTGCGGCCTGCCAGTAAACCCAAAGCAGAAGAAGAAGAAGTGACGTCAGCGGCTCATTTGCCTAATCCCCCCACAGGGACTGATTCCCGTTTGAACGCGATCTACTAGAAAGTTCCAGAACGAAAGAGTTCGGTGGGACTAAGTACTGGGAACTAAGTACGGCAAAGTACTTGGTGTGAAAGCGGCTATTGTTTTATTTTTGAAATCCAATAGCTTTATCTTGAAAACCCATTTTTTGTTTGCAAAATTAAAAAAAATTAAAGTTAGAGAAAAACGTTTGGATTTGAAACGAAAAAAGTTAAGATAAACAACAACATGTGTAAAGTGTTTCATCCCAAAGACACATGTTGGTACTGTAGATCAGATACTCACAGCCAGCAGGGCGGACCCCCCCTGGAGGACAGACGCCCATTCAAAGCTCAGGTGCTGCGTCACCAGCCCCCCCACGATGGGGCCGGAGAACATCCTGGAGACACACATCACATTCAGACATAACAACAGATAGGAGATAAAACTACACTACAGAGTAGATATCAGACTGACCCCAGAGACCAGAAGGCCCCGAAGAGTCCGGAGACCATCCCCAGCGTGCTGAGCCCCTCCTCGTAGCCCTGCTCACTGAAACACTGCGTCAATACCACAAGTACTTCATAATGTACTATATATACTATATACTAATACACAAAGTACTCACTACGCACTGGAGATGATCTCAGGGAAGGTCGGGATCGCCGTCATCCCCAGAGAGAAACCAATCACAGAGAGCATGAGGACCAGGAGCCACAGCTGACTGCACACACACACACACACACACACACACACACACACACACACACACACACACACACACACACACACACACACACACACTTAATATAAATATAAATAATATTTAAATTGCAGAATTATGTATAGAACTGTCCCATATTTCAGCATTTTAAAGATTAATGTTATTTTATATAAATAAAGTAATATGTTTTAAGACAATTTAATCAAAACAATATGCTAATAAAGTCTGACCTGGGGATGTGGAGGATGGGGGCGGGGCCTAGCAGGAAGAAACTGAGTGCTGTGGCACCGCAACCAATCACCATGAGCCACGGCCTGCTGCTCTGAAACACACACACACACACACACACACACACACACACACACACACACACACACACCACACACACACACACACACACACACACACACACACACACACATGTTAACAAATTACACACATTACACACATTAGACATGTTAAATATGTTAACATGATTCAGAATCCCTTTATTAGTCCCACAGAGGGGACATTTACATTTGTCAAGTCCCCGAACCTAAACATGGAGTGTGGACTGCTACTTGGAGATGTCCCAGTTCACCTCCTGCCCTGCCGTGCTGCCCTTGAGCAAGGCAGCAGCCATTTTAACAAGTTAAACATGAACTAGCACCCGTCCCCCTGCAGGATGAACACAGTACACACACTGCTGTACTCACAGGACAGTACACACACACTGCTGTACTCACAGGACAGTACACACACACTGCTGTACTCACAGGACAGTACACACGACAGTACACACACTGCTGTACTCACAGGACAGTACACACACTGCTGTACTCACAGGACAGTACACACACAGTGCTGTACTCACAGGACAGTACACACAC